GTGGTGCTGGAAAAGAGTATTGAGAGTACCATGGACTTCTAGGAAAACAAACAGATTCATCCTGGAAAGGGTTAAACCGGGCTGCTCCTTTGAGGCAAGGATTCTGAGGCTCTGTCTACCATACTTTGGACACGTTTTGAGGAGAGACCAGTCCTTAGAGAGAGATATCATGCTTGGGAGGGTGGAGGGACAGCACAGGAGGGGAAGGCCCTCTATGAGGTGGATTGATTCAGTGACTGGGGTAATCGAGATGGGAGTGTTAGAGACAGTGTGGTTGGCACAGGACAGAGCAGAGTTTAGGGCTGTTGTTCATAGGATCTCTGTGAGTCACAAGCGACTCAATGGCACATAACAACAACATTCTTATGCCGTCAAATGTCTTTATTTAGCTAGTATTGTGGCCCTGCTCAGTTACAATATAAGATCAGTTTCTTGAGGTGGAGGTCCTCAGCCTGACCCACGTTTAAATGGGCCTTTCTGAGGGAGAGAAAAAGTCACAAAAGGAGTTTGATAGTAGATAGGAAGCATGAGGGGAGAAGTCAGAAGTCAGAAGAATAATAGGGGCAGAGAGTTTCTGATGAGAGGAGGCACCAAATAACACCTAGTTAGGACTCTTCAAGAATCGAGATAGCAGTGGAAAAGAATAATGAAGAATTCAGGGAAAGTGGACAGTATTGATGACTGGACAAATTGGATGGAAATAGACAACAGAGGGTTTGTACCCTCAGTCCACGCAGGCATCCCTCTCAGACGTGCCCCTAGTGGGGTAAAAGCATGTCTTAGCAATAGGTGTGTCCATATCAACCTAGGCGAGTTTGGGGTCCCTAGAGAATCCCCCCAAATCACCACTAATCCATATGACAACACCACGGAACCTCGGGTGGGGACCCAATCAAACTCTGTGGCTTCAAGGTTGTGTCAGCCTTGGAGCCTCTTCACAAGCACTCAAAGGATTCAGTCAGCAGATAAACACACAGAGCAGTAGAAGAGGTGAGAAACCCAATGTTACATTACCGTCTTGACACCGATCAACATGCCTCAACTCCTGTCCTAGGTTTTGTGCACCAGATGTTAGGACTTTGCATTGGATTTAAGGCCAAAGACTCAAGGAAGGGACCAGAGAGAAAGAAAGCAAGTTTAAAACAGTTTTATTAAGGGGGATCCTGGGAGAGATTCCTTGATCTGGAGAGAGGTAGACTAGGGAAAACCACTACACCCAACTTTCAGTTAAAACAAAACAACCTAACGTCCAGAATCCAAATGCTTCACATAAAAGACCTTAAACTGGAGACATAAAATATATATATACATATAAAAAATATTTTTAAAAAAACCCAACATAATAAAACTATGGAGAATGGTGGAAAAAACCCAACAACCCTCCATATAGATTTCTTTAAAGGTTTGAATTTAAGCTAATTTATATAATTCACATTCAAAAAGTAGGTAGGTTTTGGTTATTTCTTCATGTAAGTGCTCTGGATTTGCCATCTCACATTTACCTGCTGGTTGTTGAAAGTTGGCTTTTTGTTGTTATATTTGTTGTTGCTGTTGTTTTTAAATTGTGATTTTTAACACAAGTTTACAGAAAAGTTGGATTTTCATTCATTCATGTTGCACATTTTCCTCATTAACTCCAACAAGTTCACATTTTTTTAAAAAAATATTCATTCATTGTTGCTTGATTTCCTCCCTTCCTGTCCCTTCTCTATTCTCAGTCCACTTTGCTATGTACCTCTTATTCTGAATTCTTGTCATACAAATAATGCCTAATCATATATTCCTTTTAAGTTTTTCCTTCACCTGTTCCAATGCAGTGTTCATTATTTATGCCCTTTTTTTAATTACCTCCCATCTGAGCAGAAGATTTCAAAAGGTAGCTCGGGATGACAAAGTAAAATATTACAATGAAATGTGCATGGAATTAGAGTCAGAAAATCAAAAGGGCCGAACTCGCTCAGCATTTCTCAAGCTCAAGGAACTGAAGAACAGATTCAAACCGCGAGTTGCTATAATCAAGGATGCTTTAGGCAGAATATTAAATGATCCAGAAACTATTAAAAGAAGATGGAAAGAATATACTGAGTCATTGTATCGAAAGGAATTGACAGACAGAAGAATTTAATGAAACAACATATGAGCAAGAACCTATGGTGATGAAGGGAGAAATTGAAGCTGCTTTGAAAGAAATAGCAAAAAATAAGGCCCCAGGAATAGATGGTATACCAATTGATGTATTTCACCTAACAGATGCTGCCCTGGATGTGCTCACCAAGTTGTGCCAAGAAATCTGGAGAACAACCACTTGGCCAACTGACTGGAAAGGGTCTATATTTGTTCCTATCCCAAAGAAACGTGACCCAACAGAGTGTGGAAACTTAAAGAACAATATAATTGATTTCACATGCAAACAAGATTCTGCAGAAGATTATTCAAAAACTACTTGAACAGCACATCAGTAGAGAACTGCCAAAGTCCAGGCTGGGTTTAGAAGGGGTCGTGGTACAAGGGTTATTATAGCTAATATTAGATGGATATTGTCTGAAATCAGGGAGTTCCAGAGGAATGTCTATCTGTACTTCATTGATTATGCAAAGGCGTTTGACTGTGAGGATCATAACAAACTGTGGCTGACTCTGAGAAGAATGTGAATCCCAGAACACTTGATCATGCTAATGTGAAACTTATACTTGAACCAAGAGGCAGTCGTCAGAACAGAGCAAGGAAACATTGCATGGTTCAAAATTGGAAAGGGCGTAAGCCAGGGATGTGTCCTGTCTCCCTACCTTTTCAACCTGTATGCCGAACAGACCATCCGGGAGGCTGGGCTCTATGAGGAGAAATATAGCATCAGGATTGGTGGAAGATCCATAAACAATCTGCATTATGCAGATAACACAACCCTGCTTGCTGAAACTGAGGAGGACCTGAAGCGCTTGCTGCTGAGGGTCAGGGACTGCAGCCTTCAATATGGACTGAGGCTCAATGTCAAAAAGACAAAGATTCTCACCACTGGAACAATTGGCAGCATCAGGATGGAAGGTGAAGAGATTGAGATTGTTCACAGCTTTAGTTTGCTTTGTTCCACAATCAACACTCTTGGCACCGGTAGCCAGGAAATTAAAAGACATATTGCCATGGGAAAGTCTGCTGTTAGCGACCCCTCTCAAGTACTCAAGAGCAATGGTGTGTCTCTGGAGACAAAATTGCGTCTGGTACAGGCCATGGTCTTTGCAATCACTTTTTATGCATCAGAGAGCTGGACAGTGACCAAGGAGGATAGAAGAAGAATTGATGATTTTGAGCTTTGGTGTTGGAGAAGAGTGCCATGGACCGCTAAGAGAACAAACAGATTCATCTTGGAGAGTTAAACCGGGCTGCTCCTTGGAGGCAAGGATTCTGAGGCTTCATCAGACATACTTTGGGCATGTTGCAAGGAGGGACTGGTCCTTGGAGAGGGACATCATGCTAGGGAGGGTGGAGGGCAGGTGCAGGAGGGGATGGCCCTTTGGGAGATGGATTGATTCGATGACTGGGGCAATTGGGATGAGTGTGTCTGAGGCAATGAGATTGGCACAGGACACAGCAGAGTTTAAGGCTGTTGTACATAGGGTCACTATGAGTTGCAAGCGACTCAACAGCACATAACAACAACAACAACCCATCCCCATGCCAGTCCTGTTTCATAATAGTAAAGTGTTGTTGCAAACAGACTTCTAAGTGTTGTAGTGTTCCACCTTCTTAATCATTTAGAGGTTGTGCAGTCATGTTAGTTTTATTTCTACAAATTGTGCTTCTTCAGTTTTTTTGTTTTTATTGAAGTTGATTTGATGAAATGAAGAATGAGAAGTAATATATACACATCTCCATGAAAAGCTGTAGTTAGTACAGTGGAATAAATCTTTTGGTCCCTTTAATCTCAGATTACCTTTTTGGAGTGAAAAAAAAAAACCTGTTTTTCACAAAATTATATGACTCAAGTCTTTGAGAAAATAAACTTGATGTCGCAACTTTATTTTTATCTTTCAGATCCTCCAAAAAGCCAACTCCCTCTGATTTTTTGGTGAAACAGATATACCTATGGGATGAGCAAATTGTACAGATTTATATAACTGCCATTTCACTGAAAGGTCAGTGTGAAAGCTATTTTCAATTCTATTAATTCAGAAACTATGGATGAATAATGGGATTTTTTCTTTGTTTTTAAAAGTTTCTTTGCCTCTTTTGTTCTATGAAAACAAAAAAAAATATCCCTTTTTCTGCTTATATACAAAGTCATTAACAACAGGCAATAAATAAAAAATAAGAGATAGTCCTTGTGTTGACTGAGTGCTGAGGACAGATATGCTTTTCACACAGCTTGCCCTATCTCTCCTACTAGTGCATTTCCAGTCCCTTCACTTGGATCTTCAAGAATTCCTGTCACCCAGCATGCTTCTCAAAGAAATGTAGCTCTTTTCTCCTTACTGTTTTTGTTGCTCTCACCAGTTCCCGCTCCTTCTTTTCATTAAAGTGACCTCTGTACTCCTGTTAAAACCTTTTGAAGTCTTTCCTTGAAGCACAGGATAATTTGTTTGCCTTTCTCATTGCAATAGCACCTTGCCCATGACTTTATTCACTGCTGTTAAGCCCAATTGATGGACAGTAATCTGTACTTCTCAGACTTGGTACCTCAAGCCCAGAGAATAGAACCTTTCCTGACTCATCTTCACCCTCCATCATCAGCAGATGATAGACAGAGTATCGGCTCTCAGGAGAGTAGCTGTGCTCATTCTGGATTATCCTGGTGAACATTTTGGGCCTGATTTCTTAGTCTCTTGAGCCTCAATGTCCACCCTTGAGAAGCAAGGTACTTGAGCTTTAGTGGGTGAGTGAATCCAAACAGGACTACTGAGTACAGATATTCTGTTATAAGACCAACTTCCAAAACCTTCATCCACTAGCAAAAATGGCATAGTGAGAGATGAAACGTTCCTGCACAAATAGGAAATTAATTAAAAAAAACCAAGTAATTATTGGCAGGGTTGTTACCTTCCCACACAGAAGGTGCCAACTCTGCTTTTTTCCTAATCATTGGCCTTTATACTTGAAGGATTAACTTCTTCCCTCTATAGCTTCTCATCATTCTAGTGCAATATTAGAGGTCTCCTCCAACATCCATATTGTTCTTCCTCCATTGTCATTTTCTTTTTTTTAATTATTAAATTTTGTTAGTTTTAATGAACATTTACAGATATTTTGGGTTTCCATTCGTTTATAGTTGCACTATTTTCTCTACCCTCCTCCCCAGTTCGTCCTTCTATTCCCCCCCCCTTTGAAAGTATGTTTTAATTGTCCAATTGCCACAGTGCTTGTCAAAGCCAGTTCTGATTAATCTCCTTTGTCAGTGTGTCCTTTGCCATTCCCAATCACTCCTCCCTGA